TTACCTTGCGTCCTTCGGGTCCTGGCTCCCTGACGTTCCTTCGCCGGCTTGGCCTCCTCCTGCCATCTGCGGAGGGAGGAGGGAGGAATGAGAAGGTGAAGACAAGAAGGAACGAGGGAGAGGAGGAGGAAAGTGAAGATAAGGAAAGATAGAGGAGAATGATGATGAGGAGGGGAAGAGGAAAATGAAGATAAAGAGAGGAAGAGGGGAATAAAGGAAAGGAGAAGAATTGGAGAATGAAGATAAGGAGAGGAAGAGGAGAATGAAGATAAGGAGAAGAATTGGAGAATGAAGATAAAGAGAGGAAGAGGGGAATAAAGGAAAGGAGAGGAATTGGAGAATGAATGAAAGGAGAGGACGAGGAGAATGAAGATAAGGAGAAGAATTGGAGAATGAAGATAAAGAGAGGAAGAGGGGAATAAAGGAAAGGAGAGGAATTGGAGAATGAATGAAAGGAGAGGACGAGGAGAATGAAGATAAGGAGAAGAATTGGAGAATGAAGATAAAGAGAGGAAGAGGGGAATAAAGGAAAGGAGAGGAATTGGAGAATGAATGAAAGGAGAGGACGAGGAGAATGAAGATAAAGAGATGAAGAGGAGAATGAATGAAAGCAGAGCACGAGGAGAATGAAGATAAAGAGAGGAAGAGGAGAATGAAGAAAAGGAGGCATAGTGGAGAGGAGGATACTTAGCGATAAGGTCGAGGATATGATGATGAAAATTCAGTGATAATTTTTCATAATAAAATGGGAGGATAATGATAGCAGTGTTGATTATCATCAAGGAATGGGAATGACGATAAAGCGTTGATTATTATCAAAATTGTTGCTCTAACAATAACACAGAAATCTCAGGCGAAACAGGGATAAAGATATTTATAGCTGGTATGATGACGATGGTGGCAGTAGTATTAGAAAAAAACCGGTTGTGATGTAGTACAATTATGCTACTGTCTTTCTTTTTTCTGAAGATATTTATATTCAGTTATATATAATACATCATCTTATGGCCTAAGATGATACATTAAAAATGAGGATGAAGGAAATGCCCGCCCGCCCCCTCCATTAAAATACAATGACAAAAACAAAATTTAAAAAGGGCAATTGATGACACTGATTGTGGCAAAATGAAACGAGTCATGAAATATTCAGTTATAAATATTCATTTTTACGTGATTCATGTAAAAGGATTTAGATCCCCGGGATTATCAACTCGAATACTTTATGTTGTGTGAATAATAACAAACAAATTGATCATTTGATCCCTGTCATTAATCATCAAAATTAAACTAATGACATATTTCAAACGCGTCAGAGAGAGAGAGAGAGAGAGAGAGAGAGAGAGAGAGAGAGAGAGAGAGAGAGAAATATACATGCAAGATATAAAATGAACGAGAGGGAGAAACAGACAGACAGACAGGGAGATAGAGATAACACAGGCATTTGATGAATAGTTATGCAGAGGGAAAAGGGAAAACAGAATACGCAATTAGTCCACAGGAAGACAAATGACATGGGCTCGTATCTCCCTCTTCCCCTCTACGTTTGAATCTCTCTCTCTGCTTTTGTAATTGTTTGCACTCTACCTAATTGTTTTTTGGAAATGGATACTGCCGAAGACGATCGTTTCCTCGCGGCTGTTATGAAATTATTCTCCCCGGCAAAGCATCTTATGAAGGATGTTTCTCACCGAAGAATGTGGGAATATAAAGATATGAACAATGATAATAATGAGGATATTGATAACTGAAATAAAAAGATCTATATTAATGATAACGGTGATGATGATGATAAATGATAGCAAAGGCAATAGCTATATTGGTAAGAGGAAATATAACAATAATTATAAGAATAATGATATTAACAACAAATAAAATGTTGTTAAAAATAGGAATGATACTACTACTACTAGTAATAAAGAGGATAATCGTAATAGTAAATTACAACGAAGTTACATCATCATCATCATTATCATTATCATAACCATCATCCTCATTATCACCTTAATCATCCTTATCATTATCATCATTATCTTCATCATCATCGCCATCCTCCTCCTCTTTCTCCTTTCCCTCCTCCTTCTTCTCCTCCTCCTCCTCCTCCTCCTCCTCCTCCTCCTCCTCCTCCTCCTCCTCCTCCTCCTCCTCCTCCTCCTCCTCCTCCTCCTTATCCCATCGCCATTTCCGCCCCCATCGCCCTCACCCCCTTCCCCCTCCTCCCCTTCCCCTTCTTCCCCAACCCACCTGTAAGTCGCTCTCGAGGAGTGGAACAGCCGCGCCTTTGTTGGCCTTCTTCAGGGCCTTCAGTGCCTTCTTCTCGGCCTTGATGCGCTCCCTCTCCGCCTTGGCCCTGTCCTTCTCGTCCTTCGCCTTCCTTGCCTTCTCTCGCTTTTTCATAAATCGCCAGGCCACTTGCTGAAGCTCCTGTTCCTCTTCATACCTGCAGTCCCTGTGGGCGAGAGACACGGCGTCAGCGGCGGCCACGCGGAGCCTACGTTTACGT